CACAAATGCACAGAAAATATTCCTACAAAATTTTTTGCTTTGTATCTTGCCTGGCTCGCAAAACCGTTTCCCGCCGAAGAAATCTGTATATTTTTCGGGGTGGGTCCGTGAGCGGGGGTCTAGGCACGTGTGTGGGAAAGACCTTAAAACGAGAGGACGACACACAGGGTAGGAGTATATACCCAAAATTTCAGCCTCCCAGCTTTCCTGGTTGCTGAGATGAAAGTGGGTGACAAAATTCACTCGCTTCTGAAAAAACACACAGGCAGCCTCTCGACAGTATGCGCTTTTGCTGGCTGTAGCAGCGCTATAGCGCTTCACAGCAAAAACACACAAAAACTAACATCATTGATTTTCATGCCGAGAACTTCTTTCATGTAGGTGAGTTGGTTTTGTAGCAAAAGATAGAACGTCCAGCTGCGAGCAAAATTTGCCACAATTATTGCATAAACAGGCCTCGATTGCAGTATTGCTTTCCAAGGTACTGAGAACAGCTAAAAATGACGGCAATTCACCAGAAGATTCTGACAGCACTTTTTGCCGCAACAATGCGGTCGTAAGATTCGCTGAATTTCCACTTTTGACGAAAGCCACGGGCATTCTGTTCACAGTGACTGCCCTCTGAATGGAGCTTTCAGTTAAAGTTTCCTTTCCAATTTTGCCATGAGCTGTTTTTGGTAAAACGCTCTAAATGTTTTAGACCCATGCTTTTTCCATTTTGTTCAGATGAACTTTTCCAATTTGTTCCGAATACTTTTTCTACCCGATTCTGCAATTTTCCAATTTAAATTTTGCTTTCTTTGGTCGGTATTAATCCCTCGATTTCAAGTTTCGCAGTGCTTTTAGCAGTCTTGAGTTCAAAAGGTGGGAAGGGTTTTTTCCTCGCCCAAGTCGGAGCTAACACCAGGAAAATAAAAAATACGGAAACAGTGGTCAGTCAAGTGAATGCATTCGCATTCTATATGTACTCTGACACATTTGTGTTTCACTGTATCTGTGTGTGTATGTGTTTGTGAGACTGCCAAAGTGAAAATCGACGGATCTGTGAAAATGGAAAAATTTTGAAATTAAAGTCATTAATTTGGTACTTCGAAATTAGTTGGCTATCCTTCTTACAGTGTGTTTTACCAGGCAGCCTGGCACTTACAGTTGGATGAGTCGTAGACACCGGTCCAATAGCATCGAGGATGTATTTTTTTTCTTCCGGTGAAATTGTCGGATGAAATGTGGGGCTTTCGAATGTCAGCGCAAACCAGAATATCGCCCAAATTACACCAGCTATCCCTGAAAATCAAAAGGTGAAGAAGCAGTAATGCCTCTTAAAATCGAGGTTGTTAAAGTTTTCTTTTAAATATTACTGTAACTATAAAAGGTGTCAAAAATCTGATTCTTTGTGTCAGATTATAAACATATCAAATGGACTGTTTACACAACGATACTGTACGAAACAGCTTTTTGGCTGCCGAAGCTGTGCTCAATCAGTAAATAACCGCGTACTGTACTTAACCCAGGTGACATGGTATGAAAGTGGCGAAAAATTAGGCGGTAATAATCGCAGCGAGGCACAAGCCCTTGTATCTCCAGGTATGCCAAAAGACATTGAGCTGCATATTGTCGGGCAGAATTTGTATGCAGTGAACTAGTGTTAGCTGGGTCAGCGGTTCATAAAGGGTTGCAGCCAAAAACGCAAAATTTGCGCTTCACGACGCTGCATGATGGAGGACACATTAATCGATATCTGGCTCGTTCTCAGGAATGTGTTCGTAGTTCCTTCCTTCGGTACGGAAAGCAAACATTCATTCCCAGATGGAGGCTTTTAAAGATGGAGATGGAAATCTGGTCACGGCTAAACGGATATAGAGAAGACAGGAAATGTTCTCTTGTTCTGTCATCCAGCCCCTCTAAACACGCCACCAAGCAGTAAACTCATTCCGTGTTTAGAAGTACAAACACGTAAGAAACGGAGTTTCAAATGTAGAATGAAGAGGCTTCAGCTATGGGCAACAGCACCGATTTGTTTCTTCTAATTTTCACATTGTTTTTAAGGGGAAATTCGAAAAAACAAGTACATACACTCACAGACAGAGAGAGATTTGGGCCTATTGTACATTTTTTTGCAGGCGTGTGAAATGCGTAATATATGAGGATAAAAACAGATATAAAAGTCAAAAATTATCATTACTAAAATACCAGGAATAACGAAACTGCTCGGATTTTCAGTGTGGGTATTTTCCGTTAGTGATGTTACTAGATAGCTTCCACATGGCAAGCGTAGCGGTAGGCTCTTCGGTACTAGGCTGCATACCTCCAGTTGGCACCTATTGCCTATTTAATATTTGTGCGCCATGTTTTCGCGGGTCGCCCTAATGATTGTTTATTTTTAAATTATTGTTATTGAGCAGTAATTTTCAGACCGACCG